CTACTGCTGCTGCTGCTGCTGCTGCTGCTGCTGCTGCTACTACTACTACTACCTCCGACAAATAACTGTAAAACAGCTCTCAAGTGAAACGAGAATCGGTGAAGGGTCATCTTAACACGAATAAGGTGTCTGAGCGGTGGGTACCCGCCTTTTGACAAGTGAGCAAAGGAAGCAGAGGGTTGAGTCCTGCAAAACTATCCTTCTTATTGAGCCCAATGACGCTATTTTCTGTAAAAACATGGTGACTATAGATGAAACAGGGATTTATCATTTTGATCCAGAACAAAAAATGTCCTCCATGCAATGGTAAACCCCTTCTTCTCCCTCGCCAAAGAAGGCAAAGGTAACACCGTCAAGTGGAAAGGTGATGCTGTCATGTTTCTGGGATTGTGAAGGTATCATTGTGCCTAACTACCTGGAAAATGGAAAAACAGTTACAGGAGACTATTACTCGGGTTTGCTGATAAAATTGTAGTCCGAATTGGTGAGAAAAAGTTGTGGAAAACTGCGTAAAGGGGTCCTTCCACTGCATGACAACGCCCCTGCGCACAGGGCACGGCAAGCAGTCCAGACAGCAGAGCAGCGCGGCTTTGAAATCCTGCCACACCCATTTTTTTCACTAGAACGAGCCTCCTCAGACTTTTTCCTGTTTCCTAATCTTAAAAAATCACCCAAAGGACGTCGTTTCCATGACAACGAGGACGCCATTGAAGCTGTTGAAGACTGATTAGGGGCCCATTCTGGGTCATTTTTCTCTCAAGGACTTTTGAAGATCAAAGAGAGATGGCAGAAATGCGCTACTCAGCATGGTGACTATGTACAGAAATAAAAGTATGTGTGCCAAGTTACAAAGCTCTGTCTTTATTTCTTTATATTTAGTTAGACCAAAGACTTCTTGAACCCCCTCCCCCGCCCCACTATTCCAGTAAAACAGTCTTCGAAAGGCCTTTTGGTCTTTCAGCATGTCGTATTATCTCAGTTCCTTTTACTTTACTGTAATGATAAAGTTACTTTTAGTCTTTCAATTCAAAACTTACTCCACCAAAGACGCACGTCTGGGGTCTCCCGTCTCTGTGGGGCCGTGTGGTGTTGCCGTGACGACACGCTCGAAGCACGCTACTGGCTTTTATTTCAAAGGAAGGGAGGGTGGGTGACATGTGCCGCCAGCTATGATTCTAGCTCTGGATCCAAGTAATCCAAGTAATCCAAGGAGGGTGGGTGGGTCGAAGCTAAATATTACCAGAGCTGAATGGGGTCCAATACTGCATTGGGTTGTACGGTGGGTTTGTTTATTTATTTTAAAAAATAAAATGGTTGTTTTTGTGTGATTTCTTTCTTTTTTAAAACTCTATCCATACGTTCGGGGGAAATTTTGTATTATTTTCACGTTTTAGCCGTTTAGTTGTTCGCGTATGTTTTGAATTTGCCGAAGTCGCCCAGTGTCACGCGTTAAGCACCCGTTTTAAAATCCGCTAAATACTTGAATTCGTGCTTTAATAGGAAACATCGCAAAACTCGCGAAAATATCGAATCTAAATCACACGCGACTCCCGCC